CGAGAAGAGAGGAACATGGCAGATCGGCATTGAGAGCGGGTAGTCGGTAGCAGCAGGAATCGATATTTTACGATTTATTAATACCGTTTCAAAAGGATCTTCCTGCTTCGCGTAGATGCTGCGCGCATACATGTCACAATGGAGATCTCAACAACGTATCGATTATGAATATAATCGGTACTTCTCTCTCTCTCTCTCCTTCTCACTCTTTCCCTCTGTCTGTCTGTCTATCTATCTTTCTCCTTCTCTCGTAACGTTGTTCAGCCACGGCAATATACGATTTGTCCACGAGCCTTCGCAATTGACGATTCTCTCTTTCCTCCGCTTCTGTTACTCATCTCGAGCTTTTCGTGTCAACGAGCACGTTTGAGTAGCGCGGTGTACCTGCTCGCGGAATAATTTCTTTCTCATTTCTTTTTAATGCAAGGCGCACCTTAGTCCACAAGCCGCCGCCGCCATCGCGTTTAATTTCCCCGGGGACTGTTAATTAGCGTTAGAGGCACGAGTCCGGGGTCGAAGTGTCCCTTTTAATCACGGCTCTGGCGAAACGCATGAGAACTAAATCTGTATGTGACAGTTAGTCTAAATTAATAACACCGTCGAGAGATGACATCATCATCGTGAAGGGGGAAACATGCGTCGAGTTTTAGTTATTCAATTATACACTAGAAGAAAAAATATCTAAGAAGCAAATCAATATTTACCCCTTGGGTAATAATATACTTGCTTATGTTAACATAAAATATTTTTCGAATAAGAAAATATACATTTTCTTAAAATCTTTTTTCATGAAAGCAGTTGTTCATTCTACTTAAATGAACTAATTTAGATTTAAGTAAATATATCATTAGTACTAACCGAATAAAATATTTTCCCCTTTCTCGGATATTTTTCTGTCAGTATATTATTGTTTTCACCAATTGGCGGAAAATTTTTTTCTTCAATTTTCTACAAATTGTCGATTGTGAATTTTCTACAAATTGCGTTTGTGAATCATTATAATTATAGATTTCACTTTCTGCATAATAAATATATGCGCTTTATCAATCTTCCGGGGTTAATCCGCAGGTTTATCGGTGACACAGGAATTCCTGTCGACGTAAGTAAAGAGAGGCGTTGAACCGTATCGTTGTAACTCGTTATAAGCGGACAAGTGTCGCGAAAGAAGGACGTCTTATATTTGAAAAAAAAAATTGACCCGGCAAACGCGATGAATTCAACGGTAGACACTTTGAGGGTTTAAAGGGCAACGGTACATGCAAGCATCGCTTTTCCACCTAAAGGTCTCTCGTATGATGTTATAATAAACGCACACGCATTTTTCGCGCAAATATCATGTGAAGCCCGGAAACAGCTAAAATAATGAATCCAAGAGTATAACGTGCGATAAGATTAAATTGTATGCCGACGATACTTCTCGATTTATCGATTCATGATTATCCTTACGAATAAATTCAACGACAGACTTTCTCAAATTTCGACAAATTTGAAATTTCGAATGTGTTACACAGATTACGATTAATTTCAATTCGCATATAATTTCCGCAACTAATTTGCGATTATTACGATTGATTTGCACGTAAGAGAATAATAACACGACGTAATAGGAAAATATCAATGTAAATAGAAAAATGTGAAAAGTGATCCGCTAATAACTCGCGTAAAGATAATGAAGTGCCTACACTGTAAGAGCAAAAATATCGAAAAAATAAAAGATATTTAACCCCGATAGGTACTAATAACATATTTACTTAACTAATACAGATATTTTTAGACAACTATATATAATGTATATGTTTGTCTCTTAAGAAAACATCTTTTTTAAGCAATAAAATATGCATTTATCGAAAATCGTTGTTTTTCGTGAAAGCAATTGTTTATTCTATTTAAACGAAAGAATCTAAAGTTAAGTAAATATATTATTACTGAGAATGAATTTTATTTTTTATTTTTCGTACAAGTATATGACTATACATAATAAGTAAGCATTATAACTTTTATTTTTTAGATATTTTTTTCCTCAGTGTAT